CGCCGCCCGGTCGCGCACTCGGAGCGCCGCCAGCAGCGCGGACATGTTGGAGCCGCCGTCCCCCCGCCCGCGTCACCGCGCTCGGGCGGGCCGGGAGGGGCCAGGCTCACCCCGCCCCGCCCCCTCCCGCCGGCCATTGGCCACAGACGCCGTCGACCCTGCCCTTCCTCACTGTCATTGGACGATCCGTTCGCCGCTCACCCGTAGACCCCGCCCAAAAGCTTTACTCTGATTGGGTCTCCCCCCTCTGCTTTGGTAACTATTGGCTGCGGCTCTCGTCAATCAAGACGACAGCGCACGGACTCCGTCTTTCTTCGCACTTTTTTTTTCCGGCCTCGCAGCCTTGGGTAGGACTGAYGGAAGCGGCTGTCAGCGAGCGTTCTCGCCCCTCCCAGCCTCCCTCCCGCCRCCACATCCCCTCCCTCCCGGCGGCGCGGTTYGCCTACAGGCCATTGGCTCCCAGCGCCGCCACTCCTGCAGCCTCGCTCGCCCCGGCCGTCGCTTCGCCAAAGGGGCGTGAACCGCCCCGCGGGGGCCTTCTTCTGATTGGYCGCTGCCACTGCCAATCAAGCGGGGCCGACGGGGCAGCAGAGCGCGGCCCGGCCCGCGCGCCGAGCCGCTCCGCACGGCGATTGGTCGCGGGGCGGGCGAGAGGCGCGCGACCTCCCCCGTGCCCCACGGGGGGCAGGGGGCAGTACCCGTATGTGCGCGCGATTACATCACCGCCAGCCAATCAGACCGCGCGGGGGCCGGTGTCCCGCCCGCGGGGGGCGGGGCTTTGCGCCCTCAGCGGCAGCCGCTGCGCCTCACGCGCCCCGGGAGGCGGGAGGTGGGAAGGGGGAGGCGGGAGCTGCCATCGCCGCCGTCACTGGTCCGGTGTGCCGGGGCTGTCGGTTTTACCGCACCAAGGAGCGAGGCTACAGGTGTCTCGGTTTTCTGCGATCCCGTCTGCCCGCGGGGCTTGGAGCGCCGTGTCCCGGCCCAGGGGAAGGAGGGGGTGCGGCCCCGCGCGGGTGCCCGACGGAGGTGTCTCGGGACCACTCTGATACCCCACCGAGCCCCGCTAACACCGGGACCGCCTGAAGAACAGAATCAGTGAATCACAGATTCGATTAGGTTGGGAAAGCCCTGAGATCATCGAGTCCAACCCGTGACCGATCACCACCATGTAACTGACCATGGCACTGAGTGCCACATCCCGGCTTCCCTTAAACACCTCCAGGGATGGTGACTCCACCACTTCCATGGGCATCCCATTCCAATGTCTAATCACCCTTCTTTCTATGAAGAAATTCTTCCTGATGCCCACCCTATACCTCCTCTGGCAGAGCTTGAGGCTATGTCCTCTCTTCCTGTCACTACTTGCTGGCAGAAGAGGCCGATCCCCACAATCTCTTTCCAGGTGCTCGTAGAGGGGAAACCCCAAAATCTGCTCTTAGCCCTGGGTCGCGGCAGGTGGGCAGTGCGGGGATGGGCAGCTCCGGCTGCAGCGACAGCCTCGCCGCGGGAGGCCGTAATGAACACCCTTCGTGGGCTCGCCTGCCCTTCAGCCTCTTCTTGCCCCGAACCAAAACTGTTTATTCAGGAAAGAACATGAAAATCTGTCTGATCCCTCGTAATCCTGTGCTATTCCCACCTTTCTCAGTCAATGGCTGGCTGAAGCYGGCTGCGGTTCACCTCGCTGGAGAGGGACCCATTCCTGCCCCTACAGCTCTGCTGGCGGTTCAGCGGCCGCAGTCATGCCCTATAGGCTTTCCTTGGAAGYTAGAAGGGATATCCTTGCCTTACCSTACAGAGAAGCCAAACGTTAATGTGCTGTCTGTGGMAATGGCATACCAATTCCCACACCATRGTCYACCGATGTCCTTGTTTCTTTCCTTAGGCTGCGGTATTTCCTCCTCATGCACTGGATACATCAGCATCAGCGTGAATGAACTCCCATCACMCACAGGACTTGAGACCATGGGTTTAAACACAGTTTGTATAGCATTTTTRTTCATTAATTTATTCATTCTCTGGAGTGTTTGCAAAAGGCACTGACCCTAAAAAAGATGGGAGCTTTTCTTTCTGGATTTGAAATTTTCTCCCAGTCTTCCACATAGGCACATGATGGGATTATTTTTCCAGGACCTGCAGAGTTATGTCCACAGAGCAGAAAATACCACGCAGCTTTTACCTTTAAGGTCATGGGCACCACCACTCACATCAGAAAATCCCTGYGCAGAGCTCCGAGGGAGCTTTTTCACTCAGGTCACTGATGAAGCTACAGCTCTAAGAGCTGAAGCTTTGCTTTCTGTGGGGTCAAATGCATCTCCTCCRCACTGAGAAGATGGGATCGTTCACTCCAGTGGGACAGTCCTGCTTCCCACAGCTCCCTATCAGTTGACAGAGCTGAATGAGAGTGAAACCTAGATTGCCTCAGCACAGGCACTCGTGAGCTGGTTCAGAAACAGCCAGAATGCTGAGGCTGCGGTTACCCTTCTGTCATAGAAAACTTGCTCACAGACAAGCTAATTTGAGTGCCCAGACCCAGCTGCCAATCAACCTAGTTAACTTTGCAGCGTCCACATGATCTGGGACTCAAGATACTTTTATATAGCTAGGGATCTTTTTTCTTTTTTTTTTTTTTCCCTTTCCTCAGACTTATATCTCATAGTCATTTAAATATAATTCATGTATTATTAAAGCAATTACAACTCTGGCTAAAAATTTCTATGTCTTTGGGTTGATGAATGCAAAATTTATTTTTTAGCCTAGATATTTCTTGGATTTTTGAAACTGTTTTTATTTCAAGAAATTCACCAGGAATTTTTTGAGAGCTTGTCACACTTTAAAGTAATAGTATATCCTGCACAGATTTCAGCAGGTATGGAGCTGGGCTGTAATTTYATCAGGTCCCTGTTTGCACCCTCTACTTTGCTTCTTGGCCACCTGCCAGAGAGATACCCTAGGTAGTATTAGATCATTTTGCTCATTATGAACATTGTATACTCAGCTACTTATTACTMTTCCATCTAATTTACTGTAGCAGCCACTCTTCCCCCAGTGACAAATACTGCAAGAAGCCACAAATTTGGCTTTCAGTTGTCATTCAGACCTTCTGACCCCGCCTTTCTCCTTGCTTCTAGGTTTTACAGGGGTTCTGATCCCCCTTATTTCACCTTCCACTTTAACTGCATATATAATTTTATACAAATTTAGAAAAAATAAAAKACTTGCTTTCCACATCCTCTTACTAGCCATACAAGCTTTATAGAATTGACTTCCCAAAATAATATTACCTTCATTTTCTCTAAAGTAATAAGTGATATCCCCTACTGCTATTCAAACATGACCTGCTTAAATGTTAGAGATTAACTGAAAACCTGCACTGTGCACACGAGTCCATAACCCAACRTAAACAGCACATTTCTAATCAGTAAAAATGTTCATATCTGGCTAGTTTCTGTGGGCTAAAACTCAATGCTGGCATTGCTCAAGAGCTGTGTGTGGCAAGAAGCAAGCAGCAGTGACAGGCAGCAGGGGCGGGCGGTGAAGTAATAAGTAGATGAAATAATGGTTTGTATGTGGCAATGTGGAGTTAATGGCTAATCCASGGGTTTTGTGCCATTTCATGGCTGGCCCCAGTTAAGCCTCGTTTAAGATTACCAAAGCAGGATATTTGTGGGAATATATGTATGTTGGACCGATGGTGATGTGTACATGCCTGAAAGAGTTGGCATTTTTTAATACATGCAATGCCCATTTTATCCTTAGTGGTGATGAAAATAACTATGAACTACAGAAATRTTAGTAAATGGGAAATTGTATGGCATAAAGGTAATTTGCAAACAGCTCTGATCCCGCACTAAAGAGGAATGAAGGTGAGTTCTTACACAGAGTTTTTAAAATTCACATTTATTAATGCTCTGTTGTTGGTGGTGAGATTTGTCCTTTTAGCAGTAACTGTTGACAAATCTCAATAATTAAATTTAATGTTCAAATTAATGAGCTACAAAAAAAAAAATCAGTACCTTTGGAAAGCTACTTGGTCTGACAGTGTTTTCATGTCATTTTCTCAGCTTTTACCTCTGTTTTCAAACAGTGAGCGATTTTTCTGAACCACGTATACATCTAGTGTTTTTACTGGCCTTCATAGTGGTTTGACAAATGGTGACTGCTCTGGTTTCACAAGAAGGCATTCTCAGACACTGAGAATATTCATGTACATGGATACTTTTTTATCTGCAAAGCAAACAAACTCTTTCATTTTCAGCTGAGTAACTTCCCATGGAAACTAATTCACTAAACAACAGTAGTTAGCTCTTCACCACTTCCCTGTGTACCCCTTCTAGATTACACCATTTCCAAAGAAAGGAAGGAAATCACCACAAATAATAAGGTCATCTTCACATTAAGAAATGAACAGAGAAAATTTTGAAAGATTCATGTAATATTTCGCCTTGGTTTTGCTCAACAAGAGGAAGATTAAATGTTAATACAGCAATGGGGAATAGGAAGAATGTAGAATGGGTAGCAAAGAAAAAAGGAGAGATACAGACAAAGACAAAAAAGTAATGTTACCATGTCAAAATAAAATAACTGAAAAGTGGATATACTATTTCCAGCACTTTGGGGGAAATAACGGAGGAATTTCAAAAAACAGTTTGGGACACCCTCCTTGTCATAAACTCAGTTCCTAACCAGAACAGGTGGATTAGAGGGAATTTGTGGCTGAGCAAACACAGAAGTAAAAATAAAAGTGCGTACTAATATTCTATGTTAAAGAACCAATGTTCTCCAAATAAAATATAAGTAATAAAACAACTCAAAATTTAGTTCCAGTATTTTTTGAAATTATGGTTACAGGTTGTACTGGAGAAGCSGGCCCTGAG